GTTTGTTTATTTTGCAAAGCAACTGATTTGCACTTAATTAAGGAGATGGGTCAGTTCATAGCCCTGCTGAGACAACCATAGTGGGAATTGGATAAAGATTTTAGATAGCCAAATCAGAGAGAAGTCTGGGGTCCTATAGGATGGAAGATAAACAAGTGGCCATCTAACTGAGAAACAACAAAGCCCACATGGAAGAAGCACACCTGCCTGTGAGATCACAAGCCATCAAAGGGATCAGGTATCAGGCATCAAAGACACCCCTCCCCCCCCAAAATAATAGCATTTTGAATGAGGGGGGGTGCGGAGTGGGGACCCAGGGGCCATCTGTGAGAAATTGGACATCCCCTTGCAGAAGGGCCGCAGGGAGGAGAAGAGCCAGTCAGGGTGCAGTGTAGCAATCATGAAACATAGAATTTTCTTCTAGTTCTTGAATGCTTCCTCCCCTCCCCCACCCCACCACCACCACCACTATCATGATTCCAATTCTACCTTACAAGTCTGGATAGACCAGAGGATATACTCTGGTACAGATAGGAACTGAAAACACAGGAAATCCAGGACAGATGATCTCTTCAGGACCAGTGGTGAGAGTGGCGATATAGGGAGGGGGGAGGGAGGGTGAGGTGGAAAGGGAGAACCGATTACAAGGATCTACATATAACCTCCTCCCTGGGGGACGGACAACAGAAAAGTGGGTGAAGGGAGACATCGGACAGTGTAAGATATGACAAAATAATAATAATTTATAAATTATCAAGGGTTCATGGGGGAGGGAGGGGGGAAAATGAGGAGCTGATACCAAGGGCTCAAGTAGAAAGCAAATGTTTTGAGAATGATGATGGCAACAAATGTACAAAAGTGCTTGGCACAATGGATGGATGGATGGATTGTGATAAGCCTTGTATGAAGTCCCCCAATAAAATGATTAAACAAACAAACAAACCGGTGCTTCCTCTCTACTTTCACTTGGATCATGCCTGAGAGAAAGGTGCCATATTTGTCCTCAAGAAAGAAAACTTGTCCTTTCAACTTAACACACTTAACAGAAATCCACGCCAAACGTCACACTAAGTGTGGAACTATTAAAAGTATTCCTTTAATGTCAATTACAGGACAAAGATACCTGCTATGACCCCTTCTACTGTCATTTATAGCCAACATGATAAGATAATAGAAAGGATAAGCGTAATATTATTCACAGACCATGTGATTATCCTTATTTAAAAATCCAAGACAAAGTCCAAATAATTAAAATAATGTGAGATGAGCAAGTTTGCTAAGAACAAGATTAAGGTAGAAAAAACAACTTCAATGTTAGTCACTAATTATGAGGGGGCATTAAAAGTTCATGGAAAAATTTCATTATCTTTTAATTGCATGTTCCCACAAACTTTTTTGAAGCCCCTCATATTACCAAAAGAAGCACAGGCAGCACAATGATTTAAGTGTTAGTTTGAAACCACCAGTTGTATCATAGGAGAAAATTAAGGCTTCTAACTGGGTAAATATTTACATCCTCAGAAACGCATAAGAGGAGTTCTACTCTGCCCTGTAAAGTTGTTATGAGTCAAAATCAACTCTGTGGCAGTGAGTGAGTGAGCATATAACCAAGTCAAAAATGTAACTGTTAAAAAACACTCTTCACAAAAACTCTAAGATACTAGGAATAACTCAAAAGTTGTGTGAAGCTGATGCCAGGGGCTTAAGTGGAGAGCAAATGTTTTGAGAATGATGAGGGCAATGAATGTACAAATGAGCTTTACACAATTAATGTATGTATGGATTGTGATAAGCGTCATATGAGCCCCTAATAAAACGATTGAAAAAAAGTTGTGTGAAAGCTAAATTTTTAAAAAATGTATTCAATATACTATAGTGCATAAAAGTGGTTGCCAAGATGTACCATGATTAAAGATAGAAAGAGCTAATACAATAAAGATGGAAATTTCCCCAATACTATCTTTAATATGGAGAATTTTTACTAATTCACAAAAGACATATAAAAATCGCTTCTCAGCCTTTTGACTAAGATCAAGTGTAGTAAAAGATATATAAAAATGCTTGACCCTAGTAGTTGTCAAACTATTGCAAATTAAAATAAACAAATAATTATTTTTAGCCAGGAAGTTAACAAAGATTACTAATGTTTGTCATATTCATTGTTAATATGGGGGTATATGTATAGGCAGTCTTATGCCAATAATATTATAGACTAATGGGGCCTTACACAAGAACAGTTGGGCAGATTTGGGGAGCCTTTATTAAGACATGTACTGACCTTATGGAGAAGATGGCATCCCCCATAGACCACACCAGAAGGACATGATGTGGAAAACCCACTGAACAAATTGGGCCCTACCTGAAAACTACCTGTAACTCTTCGACTGCTAACCTCAATGAAAGCAGCCCAACTTGTAACCACGAAGGCACCAGGGCTCCTTGAAAACACTGCATTGGCTAGGAATGGAACCCAGGCCTCCCACGTGGCAGGTGAGAATACTACCACTGAACCACCAATGTGGCCAGAGATTCTAATTTCTAGTGACTTTGGGGGTCGTGAGCATCTGCCACTATTTGCGTGACCATAGTTCCTTTGACTGATTCTGACCCTTCCCTTTTGTTAAAGATGCACCATGTAAGCTCTTTCTGGACTCCTTGGTGTGACTGCGACAGCGTTAGTGGACTTAACCTTGGTTGGAGAGAAAGATTTATAGGTAGAATAGTATAAACCCATTCCTTTGAGGGTCCAGCCCTGATGTGTCATGTACTAGGTGTATCTCCTCTGGGCTTGTGTCTTAGAAATATTAATAAATAGTTCCGTGAACACTGGTTAATTCATGTAAAACTCAATTTCTATAAGTCTGACACTTTTTGATGTGGGCCCTCGTTCCATTTTGAGGTCATGATTTGCAGACCTGGTCAGAAGCTTGGATCAGATGGGGAGTTTGGAGGTCTAACTCAGTCATCCTCCAACATAGAATTCTTGAGGAGGAAGGAGGTGTTCGCCAAACACCACCTTTTCTCCATCTCTAAATGCCCCCTCTTTGACCCCTATGTGAGCCCAAAGTACTCCTGAATCTACAGCACCTTGAATCCAGAGTGCTCCTCAGAGGCTACTGTGAGCTTGAGGGAAGGTTCTTGTTCGCCAGTGTCTGGGCATTTGTTTATCTGATAGTCAGGGAGGAAATTGGTTGGAAGTGAAGCAGGCAAGGGAAGGAGCAAGACTTTCTCACTTGATGGTAGGAAGGAGCGTTGTCAGGAAGGTCTGGTATGCATCACTCCCACTAATCTCCTGCAAAAAGGGTAGCACAGGAGGAAGAGGCATTACACACCAGAGCCTGGGCTGAAGCCTTTCTTTCTTTTAATGGCTACTAGTGGGGAGAGGTCAGATGCGCAGGCATTCCCCCCCCCTGAGGGCGATCAGTTGCCAGACTGCACTGGGCCTGCTCCCTGCTGCTGGGGACAATGGACTACTTCTCTCTGAAGCTTGGGGCCATTAGCTTGGTTCCTGTAGGAGGGGGTTACACCCTACTGATAATGGTTCCTGTGGAGACCCAGAGACCAACCCCTCATTGCTGTGTAACCTATAGTGCAGCCCCTCCCTGTGACGTATGTCTCTACCTGTAATTAGTGGGCTGGCATGCCCCCAAAAGGTATATAGGCGTGAGTCAGCACTATAGATCTCGGACTCGGACCTCTCTGACTCTCTCTGGCTCCCCTGGCTTTCCCCTCTCCCTTGTTCCCTTGCCCTCCTTCCCTTCCCCCTCTCTCCACGTGGACCACCAAGCTGGGCTGAGGTGAGCATGCTACCATGAAATGCGTCTGACTGTATTATTGTAATATCTCTCATGCTCTCGATGACTTTAATGTAATACTTGTATATCTCAACCGTACAATTGTACTTACTGAACCCAGAAGTAGTATTACTGAACCAGTGAGTTCTAGTAGCGGGTGGGGCTGGCACCTCACCCCCCCCCCACCTCCTTGCCACTTTTAATTTAATACTACAAACACCGGCCTGTTTTCAGACCCTTAGAACATTGCTCGTGCTCTCCCTCTGGCTCTGACTCACGTTTCTGGTGGTGACATGGTAGTGGTGGCTTGCAGCTAATAGGGATCCATCATCTAGAAGTGTAGCCATTTGTCCTTAGCCCAATGCATGATGTAAAGCAAGGGGATGGTGACTTCTTTTATTGACCCTTCCTCTCCGCCAAATGCTCACCATGCAATCTTTATGCAGTCTTTGCCTATGAATTCCGATGACACCGAAGTAAATGGACTCGTGAAATGTGGGAATCGTCATTATAGAGATGGTAATGTCTTGAAACAGTGAGTGGTGGTTAGGAAACATCTCCACATTATCTTTGACATTCTCCACGCACCCCATCTTTAAAATTAGCAGAACCATACTAGAAAGAGGGGGCACATACCTGGCCGGGGAGATGCCATGATCAGGAAGGCTTAACCATTGCACTCGGGATGTGCTGACCCCTGGGATTTCCCCAAATGTGGGAAACAAGACTGCATCATTTGTGGTCGTGGGGGACTGCGTTGGCGCTCTCCCCTTATTTAAAAAAAAAAGAAACGAAAGAAAGGTGCGGCCAACAGTGAGCTGCGCAGCAGCGCCTGCCACTAAGGTTCAGAGTCCTGAGTTACGGTGGTTTCAGGGGGCCTTATTTTCGGGGGATGCCTTATATTTCAGTGAGAGGCAAAACTGTAAGTAGGTCTTATTTCCCCTCCCCCCCTCCGCC